AACTTCCCAAACAACACTTCCTTCTTTGATAACAAAACAAGGGATTTTCCAACTGTACACTATCAACAGAGCTCATGAAACGCTATGTTAAAGGCAAACCCGTAGATTTTCAAAGGGAAATGACAAATCTATCAAAATTCATTGGGAAAAAAACGAATGATCGAAGGAGAAACGCGTGATATTCAACAGAGAACCTGACTGCGTTTCTCTCAATGATGCTATCTTTTTTTTTCAAAGTTTATCACATTTATAACGTAAGAAAGCCGAATAGATGTGATAAACAAAAATCATGTCTATCAGATAAGGATATGAACAGAGATCCAGAATTCTCTTCATTTGACTGCCACTTGCAGTGGTATAATGTTATGGCATCCCCAATAATGTGGAGTGCTCTGCAAAAACATTTGCGTCAGCCGGGATTCGAACCCAGATCTCTCTTTCCGATACCGATAGTGGCTGACCCGCTAGACCGTCAACGGTTGACTGTTGGCAGACAAGGCGTTTTAGCGTAAAAAAGAAGCTGTACAGAACGAGCGTCGGTGATGCAACGGTTAGCATACGCTCCCGGAAAGAGTGAGTCTGGTCCAAATCCCCGCTGACGCAAATGTTTTTGCTCAGCACTCCACACCATTATAGAGAGCATTGATGGTTTGCGCAACCTTAGAGGTCCATCTTAATATTTTTTTTGAACTCGCTTTCAAAATTCAATGTAGTCTGTGAGAATGTTCAAAGCCTCACCGACGTTGATACGTCAGAGCCATACGCACGTTTAGGCGGTGCTGTCCGCTTCGCCACTGGCCCACGTCCCATACGGAACGCTGCTTTATAGTAAAGATAGGAGACGTTGTTCATGATAATAGCACGTCGCATTGCGTTATCAATATTTTCTTCCAGTCCATGGATTACGGTTGGCAGTGAATATGTAGAAATCCATTCATCGCTGTTTCTGAACTTCACTTTAACCCGGACCATAGACCCAACCCTCTGCGTCCCTAACCCACAGCGCGTTGTGTGTAACAATGGCGGATGACCTCCCAGTGCGCTGCGTCTAACAATGGCAGGCTGAGAGTTGGACGCAACTCACTGAGGGTCAAATGCCACTGTTACACGTAACACGCCGAGGGTTAGGGACGCAGAGGGTTGGGTCCACGGTTCTCAAAGGGTTAAACATTCAATACAGTGTGTGAGAATGGTTGAAGTCTTTTCGGGGTTGGCACGTCAGAGTCATGTGTACGCTTCGGCGGTATCGCCCGCTTCATCAGTGGCCCACGTCCCACACCGAAAGCGGCTTCACAGCACGGATTGGAAGACGTCATTTCCCATTGGGTTGCCGTTGATATAAGGATTGAAAAATGAAAATGGTCGAATTGTGGATAAACATAAATAAAACAGCATGGAAATGTTTCACGGTGATAACGCAATATCACGTGATATCACCATAAATAACGTCTCCCATCAGTGCTAAAAAGTAGGGCTCAGCAAGGCGTGTGGCACTGATGAAGCGGGCGACATCGCCGGTAACGTACTTACGGCTCTGAGCTATCAAGCTCGAAAAGACCGTAAAGATTCTCACAGACAATCTTAGACAGCTTAAATTCTATAATGCAAAATCTTTCAGCGCTAGACCAATCACATGTATCACCTGTTGTTCCGATGATCGTCGAGTGACTCGAGCGGGTACCAGCAACACTTCCATTTATCCCTATCGCGCGCAAGAGTAGCCCAGTGGGTCCTCCTCGCTCTAGGGATTCACTGAGCATCATATCTTTCTTCTATCGCTTTTGTGAAGAAATCGGACCAACGGGTCGGTGGTCTTCCTGTAACTAGAGACGTGTGCTTCCTAGAGACGCAGATGGATTCAGGGGATGAGCTCTTTGCTTCTGCAGCGCCGACTTGACAAAACTCTATTTCTACGAGCCAAGTTGGCCAAACGCCTGCAATCAAGCAGCTGCGAAATACATGGGAGGCGGTTAGGACTCCTCCAACAAATAAGCTCCTCCTGCTCCTACGAGAGAGACTGGCAAGCTATACGTTGGGTTTCAAAATGCCAAAGACAGTAACAAATATGGGCTAGACCAATACATCCACAAGGGTAAAAAATTACTATAATTGGCCTCAAAAAGAGCCACAAGACTGAAAAAGTCTGGTAATTGTCCTTTATGAAGGAATAAATGAAAAAGCGATCTAATTCGCTGGACAAGAAGTTAACACAGGAGTTTTAGCTATCATTCAAGAGCTTAGATTTCTGGCTACAGCGCCATGTCACCAGTTCTCAAAAAAACTTTTTTTAAACGTTGCCACAAGAGGAGATTACTTACCTTCAGACACGCATATTTCTCAGCACACAGTGCTTTTCTTTAAACCATTAGTAATGATTTGATAGTGTAATCGCTTCTGATTCAGAAGCTGTGCTTAGATCCAGAAAAAAAAAAACCGTTTCTCTGACACGCAGCAGCGAAATAAGTTAAATTCGCATGTGTGAGCAACGGGATCTTTGGCCAATTCACGTGACGGTGGGTGAGACAGCCACGTGAACTGATGATGCCATACTTCCGCACGCGTTCATATGCTCGAAAATCGATGATCATCGTGTCAGTTCATGTGGACATCTCATCCCAGGCACGTGAATTGGCCAAAGATCAGCTTGCCCACGTATGTGAATTAACATAATTTTCATGCTGCATTGCAAGGAAACGGTTTTTTCAGAATATAAGCACACCATTAGAATCAGCTAACATTACGCTATCGAGTGATAAGTAATAGTCTATAGAAAGAGCGCTGTCCAGCGAGAAATACGAGCGTCTAAGCATATTATACCTTTATTTCGAGTGCTTTATTAAGACCACGCTCAAATTTCAATAGATCCTTTTATTATTATTTGTGCCAACTTGTCATGTGGTCTGGTAAGGGCTCTTGTACAGCCCGAGACACGTGTTTCGTCCTTACAGACTCATCAGCCGGGCAGAATCCGTCGTCCTTCGATATTTTTATAGTCAGATCTCTCGAGAGCTCTGCTCCCTTACAGAAAGTCATCAAAGACTAACGTTTTACACTCTAAGTCAAGTGAAAATTTCACCTAACACAGGATCTATTGAAATTTGAGCGTGGTCTTGATCAAGCACTCGAAATAAAGGCTTAATATGATAAAAATACCAGCCAAAGAGCAATCGAGTGCGCAAACGCTCTGTGTTGGGTGAAAATTTCTCTTGACATAAAGTGTAAAACGTTCGTCTTCGATGACTTTTGTAAGGGAGTAGAGCTCCCGAGAGAATCGACTATATAACGACGGGTTCTGCCCAACTGACGAGTCTGTAACGACGAAACACGTGTATCGGGCCGTACTAGAGCCCCTAACAAACCGTCTGAGCATAGTTTTGGGTTCGATTTTGTAGCGTTATACAAGGGGTTCTTTCGAAAACCGGCCACGTGGGGCTCTAGTCAGTTTTCTAAGCTTTCGATTGATCACTAAACACTCTCATTAAAATTTTCCTCTCCAAGAAATGATAACGGTTTTTCATTTGTCTCCTCATAATGGACGAGTATCATAGGTCCTATTTTCCTTTATTAAATGCAATCAATGACATTTTATTTTTATTTCAATGAATAATCACTGAAGAATCATAACGTATTATTATATATTGATTTATTGATTTTAATTGATTTTGTATTATTGATTTTGACAAGAGGGCGCAATCAGGGAGATTTCAAAAAAGTAGAAAAAAACACTTCTTCAGATCCGAATGGATTTTCAGACGAAAACGGAAACAGAGCTTCCAGCGATGGGAATGAACTGCGATGGAATCGAGGAAGTTGCGAAACGGGAAGAAGGCTGCGTCATCCACCCACGCGAGACCTATCGATACTCTTTCGGGTCCAACAAAAATAAATCGATAAAACGGATCAATCGATTGATTGATTGATCGGTCTCAAGGAGAAGAAGACATCGGTGAGTATGACGGAAACTGGCAGAATGATGGGGCGGTGGAATGAAATTGGACCCTATGACATTGGCGTAAAGATGACACTCAGCGTAATTACACTCATTGTCCTCTAATTGACGGCGGAAGTCCGACGATGTCCGGTCTATTCGAGAACTCCAGAACTATCCGTCTATGCCTAGTATCCAAGAGGATGTCAACGGCACGCGTGACGCAGTGGTTAGAGATGCCTTACTACGCGCACACACGTGGTCATTGGTTCGATCCTGCGCCCAGAGCTCAGCCCTGCATCCCTCAGGGTCCGCAAAGTGGTATCGAACTTGTCCGGGAGGAAAGCAATACGACTTGATGCATTGGTAGGTCATCGCGAGTCATTGTAAAGGCCAGATCTGCGTCCAATCACCTCTAACCCTCGGGAACCGTGGATCCACCACGGTCTCTGTATCTCTCATTAGCAACTCTCGATGGTCTGATTCACCTCTGCATTTCTAACCCTCAGCGAGCCATTGTCAGATGCAGCGCAACAGCCTCCCATTGTTAGGCGCAGCGCGCTGGGTTATAGATGCATGGGAGGTGGAGCAGATCGTCTAGAGTTGCCAATCAGCGCTACAGGGGCCGTGGGTCCCTGTCCCGAAAGGGCTAATGATGCCTTATTGTTGTAAGATGGAAGTCGGCTTACAATAAACTTCGCCGTGGATAATGAAAATTTTCGTGATCTGCTGGACGTATAGGAAGTTGTTGTTAAATTTTTATTCAGCTAATATCTCGACGCCTTCGTTTTCCTCGGAGACGACTGATCCTAGCCGATTGTCCAAGTGAATCCGTTGTTCCTCTCCAACTCTTTGTGATCCTTTCAAGCGATGTCTAGCGGAAGGAACACCACTTGAATGAGATCATCTCACTCGGTGGCGTTTTTTTATAGACGACAGTTGTTTTGATTTTGAGTGTTTGTTGGTAATGGCTCGTCTTCTCTAGACACTCCATCCTGCGACAGTCAGTATTGTATCATTAGGTATACGAGCGATATTTCATTTTAGAAGATCAAGTGGTATACGAAAATTCGACCTCAGATGGGAGTTAAACCCCCGTTCCACCCTTACCGGGAGCGCGTGCTACCATTACGCCACTAAGGCTACCGCTTTACGACCACTCTTTCTTCGATATAAGCTATCGCAGCTGTCAGCAACCAACCTCTCATGGATTTAGTTTGGCAAGCACACTTCGGTGTTGAACCCGGGTGAGCTGACAGCTTTTCCATAAGTAAGGCCCATAATTTTTTAACTGTCTTGGGACCATGGATGCACATCCTCTACATCTCTAAGTGGCAACTTTGAACGATCCACTCCAGCTCCTCCGCATCTCTGAACCCAGCGTGCTGCGTCTAACAATGGCAGGCTGTTGTGGAAAACAGTGGTACGCTACTGCGTTTAACAGTCGCACGCTGGAGGCTATAATGCAGAGGAGGTGGAGCAGACCGCCCAGAGTTTCCAGTTAGAGAAGCAGATGCCCTGGGTCCACGGTCCTAAAAGGGTTGATTTACTGCTTTCTAGCAGTGGTATAATGTTGAAATATCCTTTCAAGAAAATTCAGCGCTTCGCAAAAATTTGACCTCACGCGGAAGATGAACTCACGTTTAACCCTTACCGAGGGCGCGTACAGGTTACAAAAACAAAAATATTCTTGGAAATCGCTTATCGCTTACTTCTCCATGGATAATGAACATTTTCTTAGAGTATTGAGCTTACACGGGGACTACACTTCTTTCGAATCGATATAAGTGCGAGGATTCGCATCGACATGATGAATGGCTACAAACATCTGATTCGAATCACTGGGCTCTGAAGAAGAAGAAAGCGGCAGATTTTTGATGGATTAAAAGTTTTGTAGTAGCTTAGTATTGCCTTCTTTTATTATTTTCGGGATCCGTCATGACAATTTACTGCGAGGATTTCAGTACTTTTTCCATTCAAGTCGTTTTCTCGCATTCGTCCCCGCGGAAGTCTTCGAATATTTCATGTGTTGCTTCGGCTGCTGCTTGAGGATTTCGTCTTCATTATGAAGTTCGTAGAATGCTGGTTGATTCTTCTTTTGATCTTGAGGCAGCCGAGCTTAGGCGTTCTAAGGCGCTCAGCTAATGTATTGCAGGAAACTTTTGTGGAATGGAATCAAACCAAGCGCTTCACGTGCCACCTGGCTTCTTGGCACTACATCAATAATCACTACGCGTAACTCCTGACGTACAAGTACTATTAGTACTATTAGTACTATTTCCTCAATAATCTGAGAAATTTTTACCGCTGTGTAGGCGATTACTGCTATAAGGAGTTACTTACTTGGAGACATGGACGGTTCGTCTTTACGAGTTGTGCAGATCTCAGCACATTTTCCATCAGAAAGAATCAATCTGTAGCTTATCAAAACAATAGCCCTCCATTCGACCGCTTTCATGTAGACCTTGCTTAAAAATCAATAATCTAATGAGGCTATAACATGTCTTGAGCCATTAAGGTCTAAGTGCTATAGAGGTCAATGTTTCGTTCTGCCGGGACTCATCAGTAGTGCCTTACTCGGTTCAGCCTATCCCTTGAGGCTATGTTCCTCTATGAAGGAATCGACGCCGTGCAGTAAATCACCGCAAGTCAGATGATGGAATTTATCTGGCATTGTAGTGACCAGCAGTCGAGCTTGCATAGACAAAATCCAACAATCCATCTCATCGTTTGTTTATAAACCTCACTAGAGCCATACGTACGTTTCGACGATGTCGCCCGCTTCATCAGTGGCTCACGCCCACTCACTGAACCCTAACTTTGATGCAGGAGTGTGGAGAATGGTGTTAAATCGTGTGCTATTACTAAGAACGTCTCCCCATCCTCGCTATAAAGTAAGGGATCAGTGTGGGGCATGGGCCACTGACGAAGTGGGCGACACCTCCAAAACGTACGTATGGCTTTGAAGTATCAATCTCAGCAAGGTTCTAAACATTCTCACAGACAATATCCAATGATGTTCAGTAATGTTAGAAATTGTAGTACTAATCTAGTTTCGCACACTTGACATTCTTGAAAATATAGTTTAATAACGTTAAATCACTGCTAAAGAGATAATTAATCAAAATTTAGTCGATTGTTAGAACAATGTTCTAGTTCAACTGTGGTGACACATTACCGACACAAGTCGACAGTTGACATTCACCTGTATCACCTGTCGTCCCGTTGATCGTCGAGTGACTCGAGAAGGTACCAGCGACTCTTCCATTTTTCCCTATCGCGTGCAAGAGTGACCCAGTCGGTCCTCCTCGCTCTATGGATTCGCTGAGCATCATATCTTTATTCTATCGCTTTCGTGAAGAAATCGGACTAATGGGTCGATGGTCTTCCTGCAGAGCGCTTGATGTCCCGAGGAATCCAGTCGGTAACGGCTCTCGTCCATCGATTGTCGTTGAAGCGCATCACGTGTCCGGCCCACCTTATTCTCGATATCCTGGCGTGTAGAACGGCGTCTCTGATTTTCGATCGTTGACGTAGGTCGGAACTTCGGATCCTCTCTCATTTGCGAGATACGGGATACTTCTATCATCGACCTTTCGACTGCGCCTTCGATAACGCCAAGTGATCTTTCATCCTGCTTACGCAGCGTCCAGTTTCTGCTGCATACGTTAGGGCAGGGATAACCGTCGAGTCGAAAAGGTGGGCACGGAGTCGGATGTTCTTGGTCCTCTTCACTACATCTTGGAAGACAGTTGACATTATGATTCAAAATCTCATGCAAATCGTTGTTATGAAGCTGAAGTGGTGTCATCCGTTGGTGTCGTAATGATTCGATGGCTGACGTTTCGACGACTTCGCCTTCCTCAGAACTTTAACGCACTATACGTTGTTTGTTCATACAGTTTCGGTACCTTGTTAGATAACTACTCGCTGTTTTCGTAGGATATAAGACCATACGCACTCTTTTCACACGCCATGGCAATTGAAACCGCGCATCGAAAATTGTGAAAAAATACACATTTCCATGTGTAGATCGCGACGAATGCGTCAAAAGCTTATCCACTTAATGCCTCTGTGGTCCAGTGATAGCATACTTTGCCGGTATGGGTGAAATGCGGGTTCAGTTACCATCTGAGGTCGAAAGTTCTGCATGACACTCAGAATCCTTGGATTTATTATCACATTACGACGCTGCTATGAAAGTGCTAACATATCAAGAAGGAATATTTTGTGTTCTCTCTGCTTTTTCTTTTTCAAATTCTCTACATGTAAGCGCTTAATCAATATAGACGATTTGTGTCAATCATACACAACAACTTATTGTTCATAATGTTTGGTAAGATATTTGTGAAATTGTTTCAAAACCTTCATAAATATCTCATAGAAGAATCTTTTGTTTTATCTTTCGTTTCGTGTGTTTCCTTCAATATGCCTGATAATCATTTTTCGAGCCAAGCATGTCAGTGGCCTATCAAAGAGGGCTGACTTATAGAGCCCGATACACGTGATTCCTGCCCGACTGACGAGATCGCAAGATCGAAACATGTGTATCGGGCTCTATAAGTCAGCCCTCTTTGATGAACCACTGACATACGTGGTTCAAAAAATGATCATCAGGCATATTGAGATCTTTTGTTTATTTTTTCAAGACTTAGTCTTCTATAATCACAGTTGGTGGAGGTTTGTGTGCATTATCCTTTCTTGAAAAATAAATTTCGAGTGGCAGCCGACTAGGAGCGTGTTTTCATCTTCTCACAAATTTTTTGGGTCTGAATTGCTTCTTTTTCATTTATTACAATCCGAGCTTCTCAAATTATCGAAAGGATGTTCTTCTCTACCTCTTGCTTGTGCCCTGATTTCTGAACTGATTTTCTTTCATTTATGGTTTGCTAAGAATCTGCTATGATGAAGCATGTGAGTGTTGAAATTAGGTGAGTTTGAGTTCTTTCGATAATTTCTGTACTAATAAAACCGTAAAACAGCTGAACTCGTACTGCCAACTATCAATCTAAACAAGATTTCATCATGTGCACTTTGAAAACAAGTTGAAGCCATACCACAGCGTCAGTTCTGGTCGTACCAGGCCTTTTCTCTTTCCTTTCTCTCGACGGTCATTTTATTTTTGAAATGAAAACAACCTCAAAGAACGAAAAATCTTTATTTCAAAAGCTATATGCTATCCAAGCTGTAGTATACTCATGCAACACTCAATCAAATGGGAATCTCTTACAACCGCATCTGTGTCCGAGCGGTAAAGTAACCGATCTGATCTTTTCGCTAGCACCATCCTCACAGTCTGTTAGTGGAATCAACTAGAAAGATCGTTATTGTAGTAAATTTGACAATCTAAAGCTTTATAATACAAACCTGAGTGCCGGTGACAATCAGGGCACAAGCGGAACTGTTTTGAACTCGATATGGAAACGTATATGTGCCACTCTAAAAAGCATAACTCTTAATATTTTCTGTTTTGCTTTTTCTTCACTTAGTTGCACATTAAGTCTTTGGTGATACAATACTTATAATCACTTTTGAGAATTTTTCTTCTGTACAGATATTGCTGTTGAGATGCATCGAATCATACGAACTCAAAGAGATAAAAAAAGGAAAGTATCTGGATTTCATTCAATGAGTGGATAATGAAGTCGCTTGATTAGGACGAAAAGGGCATACGCATTCATGGGAAATTCCTGTAAAACCTTCATTGTCCCGATGATATCGTCATATTCTCGAAAAGCACTAGTGAACCAGAAGCAATGCTCGAGAAATTCAACGAAACAAGAGAAAAGACTGGACGGTAAGCAGTACACAGAGTACGAATGAGATTCCAATAGCGATCAGATACTACAGCTCGGAAATACAGATAATATAGGGCTGAGTAAAAAGCTGTTTTTGTTGTTTTTTTTTTTGCTTTTTTTGAAATTTTGGAAAGGTTTCTCTTGATCGCAAATTAACAATAAAAGCAACAGTAACTATTCTTTGAAGCAAAGACTATCAATCCACAGACTTTCTGTCATCGTTCTGTAAGATTTGGATCTGCTTGAAGCACAATTCTAGCTCCTTTGAATCGAATAACTCTTGACATGCTTCCTCAGCTTCATTAAACGAATCATCGACGGACATTCAAAAAGTGTTGCATTGCT